GGGGTTGTTAACCAATGTCATAAAACAACATGTGTACTACTGTTTCATGAGAAACTATTTGTTCTGTAAGCCTTCACCTGAAGTACAATAAAATAAAAAAAAATAAAATAAAAAAATCTGACTCATAGCAACCCTAAAGGACAGAGTAGAACTGCCCCACAGCGTTTCCAAGGAGCAGCTGGTGGATTTGAACTGCAAATTTTTGGTTAGCAGCCAAGCTCTTAACCACTACGCCACCAAGCAGTGAAATGGGGCTAGGAAGAAAACTCGGTTGTTCTACCCATGGGGTGAATATCAAGACTTTAGTTTTTGAGAAGAAGAGGAGCATGTTGAAGTGATTCAGTGGGGTACTCACTTCCCCTACGAGAACTTCTAAACTTCAGTAAAGTTATTAGGTATCCAGAATGTTGAGGGAGATTGGATTTCCTGTGAAAAAAAGAAATGAAGTGGACTTTGCATTGGAAATGATGCAGAGTGGAGTCAAGAAGGCTAAATGGGCTCAAGAAGGAAGTCAAAGAGAAGCACAGGGAAGTAAGACTTGGAAAATCATGGAGAGGAGTTTGAGAGGTACCCAGAGCATGAAATAGGGTCGATATCAAGTGTTACATAGATCTCAAGGGAAAGGGAGGCCCCAAATGACATAAAGATTCTATTCAAGGAACAATGTCAGGATCATGAGAATCCTGTACGTATGTGAGATGGATGGATGACAGGATGGATGGATAGGAAGAAGGAAAGAAAGATGGGTATAAGGAAGGAAGGAAGTTCCTGGCGTCAGGCCTCACTCCAGTTTGATGACAATAGCCATCACACTCCAAAGTGTCCTCAGAAGTTTATATGTTCTGTTCATTTTATTCGAGTATTCAATAATATCCTTGGTGATAATGCTAACTCCATGGCTTCAGACCCCAGAATTGACCCTGCTGCCACTGGTTGTAGCCCTGAGATTGATTTTTGTAGCCACGATTGTTTCCTTGTCCTCTGAAGTTCTGGTTGTAGTTCCCCCTGTTGGGCATTCCACCACTGTTGTAGTTCCCTCTGTTTGCAAAACCATCTTGGCTAGGGAAAACCGGACCCGAGGGTCTGGATAGCCGATTCCACCACTTCCCTCACTACCACCACCTCTCTGTGGCATATTGCCCCTCCTATTATATGTACCACGATTCCCAGGAGCAGTGGAACAGTTTGATATAGTGCTGGAAGATAAGCCCCCCACAGCTCCTGGTAACCACTAATAAACTTTTGTCTCTATGCATTTCCCTGTTCTGAATGTTTCATATAAGTGGGATCATAAAATATTTGTCTTAATATTGTATGAGACCACTACTGTAAAAACTCATGAAAAGGTTTACACACAAAAAGAAGCAATCTTTGATGGTTACAAGGGAGGGGAGGAGTGAGGATGGAAAAACACTAAATAGACAATAGATAAGTGGTAACTTTGGTGAAGAGTAAGACAGTGCACATTACTGGGGAAGCCAGCACAGCTTGTACAAGGCAAGGGCATGGAAGCTCCATAGATACATCCGAACTCCCTGAGAGACCGAATTGCTGGGCTGAGGGCTGTGGGGACCATGGTCTCGGGGAACGTCTAGCTCAATCGGCATAACATAGTTTATAAATAAAATGTTCTACATTCTACTTTGGTGAGTAGCATCTGGGGTCTTAAAAGCCTCTGTGCAGCCATCTAGGATACTCCACTGGTCTCACCCCTTTGAGAGCAAGAAAGAATGAAGAAAACTAAAGATAAAGGGAAAGATTAGTCCAAAGGACTAATGGACCACAGCCTCCACCAGAGTGAGTGCAGTACAACTAGATGGTGCCCGGCTACCACCACTGACTGCTGTGACACAACAGAGGGTCCCTATGAACAGAGCTGGAGAAAAGTGTGGAACAAAATTCTAACTCACAAGAAAAGACCATTCTTACTGGCCTGACAGAGACTGAAGAAACCCTGAGATTATGGCCCCTGGACACCCTGTTCGCTCAGTAATGAAGTCATTCCCGGGGTTCACCCTTCAGCCAAAGATTAGGCAGTACTGTAAAACAAAATGAGACTGAATGGGCACAACAGCCCAGGGACAAGGACTAGATGGCAGGAGGGGACAGGAAAGCTGGTAATAGGGAACCCAAGGTCAAGAAGGGGAGAGTGTTTACATGTCAGGGGATTGTTAACCAATGTCCTAAAACAATACGTGTACTAACTGTTTAATGAGAAGCTAGTTTGTTCTGTAAACCTTCATCTAAAGTACAATAAAATAAAATATTTGTCTCCTTGTGTCTGACTTATTTCACTCAGCATAATGTCTTCCAGCTTCATCCATGTCATAACATGTATCAGGACTTCATTTCTCTTTATAGCCAAATAATATTCCATCGTGTGTCTATACCACATTTGTTTATCCATTCATCTGTTAATGGACATTTGTGTTGTTTCCACTTTTTGGCTATTGTGAATAATGCCGCGAGGAACATTGGTGTCCATGTATCTGTTTGAGTCACTGCTTTCTTTTGGGTCTATAGCTAGGAGTGGAATTGCTGGGTCATATGATAATTCTATGTTTAATTTTTTGAGCAACCACAAACTGTTTTCCAGAGTGGCAACACCATTTTACATGCCCACCAGCAATGGATGAGGGTTCCAGTTTTATAAACTTTAAATTCATCTTTTCTTTAAAAAAAAAAAAACAGTGAAGTAGAGAATAATGGAATTTCCCTGTTGGACAGAGTAAAGGATTGTTCCTCTGGCTTATATTTACCTACTGCTATTTAATCTGTACTTCCCAAATTTTTTCCAGCCCCTGGTTCAGTGGCAAGATCCTAACCCCCGCTACCACCCTCCAGCAGTAGTCCTCTGATATGAAAACTGCAGAAATACTCATTCAAATTAAATTCAAATGCATCATCTCACATTTAGGGCTCTCATTCCACTGTCAGGGGGAATCCAGGTTTTGTGAAGCCAGAAGCTTATACTATCTTGGACTAGAGGACTCTTTAAAAAAATAACACAAAATTAAGTAAAAAAGAAAATATTTATTTAGAAGGGTCTGGCACAAGTGAAAGGAGCCCTTGTGGCACAGTGGTTAAGTGCTCGGCTGCTAACCGAGAGGTCAGCAGTTCAAACCCACTAGCCCCTCCGTAGGAGAAGGATGGGGCAGTCTGCTTCCATAAAGATTTACTGGCTTGGATACCCTGTTGGGCAGTTCTGCTCTGTCCTATAGGGTCGCTGTGAGTCAACAGCAACGGGTTTTTGGTTTTGGCACAAGTAAGGTCGTGAAGCCTGAGCTTCATTAGCCTTATGGACAGTTTACCTCTGGCCACACCCTACATTTCTTCTTCCCTCATCTCTCCTGCATCTCCCTGTCACTCTCTTCCACATTCCTTTTTCCTTTCTACCATGTCTGTTTTCACACGTTCCCATATTGATCTGTATTTTTAGTACAGCTCCCAGATCCATAGCTTTAAAAGTGAGCACCTCCCCTTGTTTCAAGATTTTAGCTGACCTTTCTTATTCAGGCAAGTCCATCTAGAGTCATCTCTGGTAGAGCAAATGGTGGGTTCATTTTTGTAAAAACTTAAACTCACTGTCTATTGAAATCTAAGCCCTGTATGGCAGGCAAAGATATACATATTAGTAGACATGTGAAGTTGGATATTTTGTTTTCTTTCTTGATATGGATATAAGATAGGATAATGGTCTGTGTGGCTGGTGCCCCCTGGAGTTATACACAGCCATCCTTATTTTTTTTTTTTTTTTTTCATTTTCTGCATAGGCTTTATTAATGCAACACCAAAAAAAAACCCATTGCCGTTGAGTCAATTCCAACTCATAATGACCCTATAGGACAGAGTAGAACTGCCCCATAGAGTTTCCAAGGAGTGCCTGGTGGATTTGAACTGCCAACCTTTTGGTTAGCAGCTGTAGCTCTTAACCACTGCACCACACAGGGTCTCCTAACGCAACACAATGGTGTTAAATGCATATTTCTTTCAGGTAAATAGCTCATGTTTGTAATCTAATCATCACTTTCAGTTCTTACAGCCAGTTTCCAGTCAACTCACAAATGAAACGTGGAAAATTATATCAGTGACTCTCTTTTCTCTCCCACTTCTTTTTTTGTTGTTGTTTGTTTTGCTTTAGGCATTGGTGAAGGTCAATGCGAAACTAAAGCCGATGCTCGATTCAGTGGCTGTGAATAGAAGTAAGTGGGAAGAGCTGCACCAGAAAAGGCTGGTGGCCTCGGCTGCCTCGCCCTCTACTGCCAGCCTTACGGTGGCTACGCAGGACAGAAAGTAAACCGCCCGGCCAGCTGCTGCTGCAAGACAACTGTGGCCTGAAGGGCCAGCTTCACTCCAGCCACATCATCCTTTTGTCCCTTTCTGCTCAGACAGACGTAAGGCCTTGGGGATGCGCTGTGAAGCATGTCTACACTTTGCTCTGAAGTATGGTCAGCAGGGGAGAGAGCGACAAGAAGGACAAAGGAGGGGGCGTGGCAGAGTGCACATCCCAGGACCCTCAGCCTTCCCTGATGCTGGGCAAAGAACCCACAGGGGCTGAGACGAAGGCTCGAGGCAGAGGACAGTTGTAGATGCAAGGATCTGAGGCTAGCCAACCCTGCTTATTCCAAGCTGAAGGAACACTGAACAGTGATGGTGCCATTAGCACTGCTTCATTTTGTATATGGCTCTTCTGTTGTTGCAAGCCATACACTGCCTGCCTTTGTGCCCTCACTCTGAGAGCCCTTTTGTGCCAGGCTGTCCGAAGAATCCTGATTTGTATTCTATAGAGGTATTTTATTTCTAATCCTAGAATTCTTCATGACGGATCAGAGAGACTCTTTAGAGTTGCCTACCTAAAAGGTAAATTATAGTATCCTTACAAATACTAACCAATCCCAGTCCTTCCACCCCCACCCCCACCAAAGAGGCCCATAGTAGGAATACAGCAAATGTGTTTGGCTGGCTGGTGTTTATAAAACATTCACAGCCCTGCATTGGGATTGTGGTCCCCTTTTTCAGAGTTTTTAATTCAACCTTGATTGTAGACCAAGCTTTCTCCCAAAAGGAATGGATTGGCATTAATTAAAGTGAGGATGAAAGAAAATCTATAGCTGGATTTACTACAGTGACACATGAACATTTAGGGAACTATTTCCGACAGGGATAGACATTTCCAAGGACACAGCAGAGCCACGGAGACTGAGCGTTGACTGCTTTGAGTTTTTCTAATGATGAGTTTTGGTATGAAATTTAAGGTTACTACCTTAAGTCCTGGTGGCGCAGTGGTTAAGCATTTGGCTACTAACCAAAAGGTTGGCAGTTCGAATCCACCAGCCACTCCTTGGAAACCCTATGTGGCAGTTCTACTCTGTCCTATAGGGTCACTATGAGTTAGAATTGACTCGATGGCAAAGGTTTTTTTTAACCAGTAACCAACTTGAAACCAAATGCAAAGGTCCCTGATTTTGGATTTTTCCTTCAGTGTAAGAAATAATGCTTGAAAGGTCTCGGCAAGAGAACACATTTTGTAGGAAAAGATGCATCTATTCAGTTGGACTAAACTGGGTTTATAATCGCTAAGAAGAAACTGTATTAAACAGGTACAATGACTGGAAAGCTGCTTTGCTCCCCATTTTACCTGAGATATTGAAGACATGGTACACCTTATCCAGAGAATCCTGGGCTAGAAGATGGATGTCCATCCCTAGCTTTGGCACTACTGACTGGAGGGCTTCAGACAAGCCACCTAACTTCTCCCAGCCTGTTTCCTCAGCTGTAAAATGAGATTATAGTAGGAAGTGATTTTCAAACATGTTTTAACCTTAGAACTCTTTGTTCAGATAACTCTTACAAGGAATCCCCGAGATATAAAATGTCTAAAAGCTGAACTGCTCTGTTGGAAGCAGGGTTGGGGTACCAGGGCCCCTACAAATCCTCATCTCTTTGATTACACCCATAGTGATCCATAAAGGAGCTCTGAGGAGTTTGCAAATCCCTGGACTAGATGATCCTGAAGGTCCATTCCAGCTCTGAAAAGTCTCAAATTTACAACCGTTTTTGTTCTCGTTGTTACTGGTCAGTATCAGTTCTTGACTTTACTACTCAGATGTTAACAGAACAGGGGCCAACTTCCACAAGGGTCACTGTTTCCCGCCGCATAGTTGACATTCAGGAAATGTTTGGAGAATAAATGGGTAAATTAAGGTACCAAAATGGAAGTGAGGGGGAGCAGGTAATTGTAGAGATGTAAGATTCTACATGGTTAGAAATGAAGTAAAAGAGAATTAAAAACCAGGCAAAGGTGGGGGAGGGGGAAGACCAATAGAGGAAAGACAGGAACCAAAGCAAGTGGCAAGAGACCTGCCAAAGGAAAGGTGAAAGTTAATCCAAATGAAGAAAAATGGCACTTTCAACCGAAAAAATGAGGGTGTACAATCCTGTCATCAGTTGCTTAGAAAAGAGAGACACTTGAGCAGGGAGGTGCTTTACAAAGCAGAGAAGGAAGGGGTGGGAGCTCTAAAAAATAATGTTCCTGGCTACCCTTTACAGCTGTCTCTGCAGGGAAGATGGGAGAAACTAGAGGAGAAAATGAGTGCAGGAAAAATTGCCTCTGCAGAGCAGGTAAGAGGAGGTTATTCAAATTTATGGATTTTATTAAGCCAGTTTTCTGAATCACTCTGCTATAAAGGAAAATAGCTTCTGCCGGGCTGTCTCCCCTCCTTCAGGTGAGGAACAAAGGGTGGGTGGGGTTAGGGACAGACACTGGTTGGCCTGAACATCGTGTGTCTGCGGCTCCAGAGGCACTGCAGGTGTTTCTGGGTATTGCGCCACATCATGTTTATATCACAAACGGGAATTGAAAATCAGCCCATGTGAGGCAGAGATGAGCTCGCATCTGTTATCCTCCCCAACAATAAATAAATAGCCCAGACAGACGAATGCCAGTCCATCTAGAGCAAAATTTTAAAGCATGTGCTTTATGATAAAACTGGACCCAAGGTCTGACGGAGACTTCAGGCAGCTACCGGCACTGTAGCTACCCTGAACGTTCATGCTGCATATTGATAAGGGGAACATAATTTATAGCACAAACCCTACGGCTTCCACTAAGGTTGAGTTTTCCTCTCATTTTCTTGCCTTTTTATTGGCTTCACTGCACGGTTGCCAATAGCAACATCCACTGGTAGCAAGGGGAGTTCAACACCATTGCAATCTGCCATACAGTGGAGCCCTGACAATGTCAACCATCAATCAAGTAGCTGTTTATAATTGCCTCCATCTATTTCTCCTGTCTCAAGATATCTTCCCTGTTGTGGGTCAAAATTCAGAAACTGCTGACTAATGCCATAGGTCTGCTCCCCCACAACCATGAAGCAGTGGGAATGGAGGGTAGCAACCTTCCTGGTACCAACAATGCTGGGGGTTAGAGACTGAACTCTTGGGAGCTTGAGGTATCTTTAATCCCTTTTCTAAATAATTTATAATTTTCTAAGGATGTGAGGTATATGTGGTTACTCATATATTCTTCTTTCCCAAAACAGTGAAAGAGAAAATTTCCCATTCCTGGTTATTAATGTTTATTTTCTCTTGGAGGAAGACATTTGAAATGCGAGTCTTCTTATAAAACAACCCAAACTGACCACTTTATGTGTGCTTCCTCAGATCTCTTCGTGTTAAAGGTTAAAATGGTGTCATCATACTTTCTCTACGGGAAGCATTTTTGCAGATATGATATTTATTCTTACTAGTCCGTGTGTAGGTAATACATACACAAACTACAAGATTGCTGTCAACCCCCGGCAAGTAGGGACAGCCTGGTAAGCTGTAACGGGCACCATCCAGTGTACAGGAGATCAGGGCTCCACCCTGGCTTGGCCACTGGCTGGACCCATAATCTTGGGACTCTACAGGTTTCAGGTTTTCCCACCTGTTAAATAAAATCATTGACTTTTATTCAGTTCATTTCCATACCAAAGGACCAGCCTGTGTTTAACTTGTTAAAATTTTTCCAAATAATTTTTTTTATTTATTCATTTCAAATAAAATAATAGCAAACATAAAGAGGTCATCTTCTCACTGAAGACAAAATAAAAAGTTACATATATGGGGTACATATAAAAACAACCTTACCACAGATATGTCTGAATCTGCCTCTAGTGATTGTGAAAGATAAGGTCATGAACACAAATTGTAAAAAATACATCCTTTTATTTCATAAATGACAATTTTAGACTATCCCATAGCATAGATGTCTCATAGCGGTAGTGATAAAAGTAAATTTATAAAGTGAGTCAAGAGAAGTTAAAACTGTACATGTGCATTTTCTCGGTTTTTGAAATCTGAGATGTCCACGCATTTCCAGGTATTTTATATTTGCAAACACGCTGGGTTAAAAAAAACCTTTAAACATTTGATAATGTAATAAGAATATTATCTAATATTAATTCAGTTTTTTTTTTCTTGTAACAAAGTTTATCATACTTTATCCACTTAGCATAGGTCATTAAACAGAGTCTGCTCCATTTACTTTGTGGTACCATTATTTTAAAATCAATTTCTCTGCTGACTCTTATGAATTGCAGAAAGATAAACTGTTTCATCCCCAGTAATAGTGTGAAGCAATTTCCTTCATGCAGGACAGAAATCTACACATATGAGGGGAAGATTTAAATCTAAAGACAAATGCTTTTGGAGAAAGGATAAATTAAAGCAACAAAACAAAACCTAATTTCGGAGCCTGAAAACTCTGGCAGTGCCCCTGTAGTGAAGTTTCATTATCTGCTTCAGAATAACAGTCACTGAAAACACATGGCTTATTCTGCCACATGCGATAAAAGAACTCCCAAAACTCAAACGTACCAGGAAATTTAAAGGTCGAGTCTGGCTACAAGCAAGACAAAATTTCGTAAGCTTCACAAGCGAGCAATAATAGAATAAAACCCATAGATGGCAGAAATAAAATGAGGTGTATCTGGAGAATTTCATGATGAGCATTTGTATTTAGCCGTCTGCTTACCTTGTTCGTGTTACAGTACCTTTTCCTCAGCTAGTAATTTGGGGTTGTACATCTTTTCTAACTTAATTATGAATGTTCTTGCATGTTTGGCACATCACTCAGCAGTGCTAAAGATAGGTTATTTATCTGTATAGCGTACCTGTACCAATGTCTTTGAATGTATACACTGGTATAGAAATGATCTGTTTATTAAGTAAATGAAGTATTTGCTGTGAAAAATGTGTTATTCGAGGCCATCATTTATCTGTGTCATTTTGTGTGTGTGTGTGTGTATTAGAATTTCAATTTTTTTGCTTTATATTTATATTAGATAATATTTAAATGAATTTTTTTAAAAAAACAGCATAATATGGAAATAGGAGGTGAAGTTTTGTTGAGTCTCATTCCCTGGTGGAATATTATGCCATTTTATTTTGATGTACAATAATCTGAAAGGGATCCCCTACTGATTTGCTTCCTAATTATTATTGTTTTACACAAAAGAAGGGAAATATGTCTTCAACTGAGTTGGTTGAAGTCATCCTCTTTGTGTAGATTTCCCAGGCTGGTGTTTCGTAGTAACAATACTGCATTATAGAATGTTGACCATTTCACAAGCAACTAATCCATGCTTTTGAAGCAATCCGCTTTTAGAGACCTAAATATCTTTGTTTTTTTTTTAATAAAATGCTTAAAGCTTAACTAAAACCCTAGCATAATTATTCTTT